GCGGTGTGGTGGACGTCGCGACGGGAGGGCGGCAGAGCAGCGCCAGCGCGCTGACTGGACAGCAGGTGGCACGCCGGCGTCACGTCCAAATCGCGGTTTGATTGGCGGGGTGTGTTCACTTCCGGCTGGACGTGAGCGCCAGGGTGAGGAGGAGGGGGAGGGGCGAGGAGGGGCGGCATGTTACTCCACAGGTTGGCGCGCTGGCTGGTCTGGCGGTGGTGGTGCCGTTTGCCGGCGCGGCGGGTACCCGCGGGCGACGCGAGTCCAAGCCGTGGCGACTGCTAGCAGCCTCCTAACGCCAATAATTTCTCGTCCCAAGCGGCCGGCCAGCCAGCCAGCCAGTCGGCAGGTGTGGGGTTGTCGACCTGAGAGAGTCAGCTGGACACCCGCGGGACACCCGCAGACTTAGGATGAATACCGCGGGACGGTGGTGAACACCGTGTGGACAACGTGTACACTTTATTAAGTTTTATTACTATTTTGTTGGGGAGGCGCGGTAGAATTTTGTATATATTCATGCCCTTGGGATAGGGGGGAGGGGGGGTGCAATAATGGCATATGGTCCACTCAGCGGTTCTGGTTCTACGCAGAGTCTTATTGCGAGAGGGTTTGCCTTTTGATTGTCTTGGCGCCTATAGCGGCTACGGCCCGTCGTGCGAGTAGGCAAGCCGTCCGCACCGCACGCGTGCATGCGGTACAGTCTAACCTTGGGTGATGTGGGCAGGTCAGGGACGGACCATTCAGCTAAACAGCCACCGCTCGTATGAGTGGTGATAACCAACGTGTTTCGAACGGGGGCGCTGTGGTTAAAAAGTGCGTTTCTGACGGGGCGTGCGGGGTTGGTCCTTCCCTACCCCTTCCCTCCGCAACGCAGCGGGGCGCAGCGTCCTCATCACCGCCCCGCCGATGCGCCCGCCCCGCCACGCCGCCGCCTTCCTCATGGCTGTCGCAGTCCTCTTAAGGGTTGGATGCCGTTTCTCCCATTGGAATTCCCTCCTCCTTCTCTGCCTCGAACACCCACTATGCCGGCTGCTCGGGTGCAGCCGGCAGCAAGGGGGGAAACTCGACGAAAGGCTTCAAAGTAAGTCCCAGCGCGCGGCGGCGTGGGCGCGCGTGTGGAGGAAGCCTCTGGCTCCCTGGAGTGCCCCTGCTCCTCCTCCTTCTCCTCCTCCTTCTCCTCCTCCACCACCTCCTTGCCGGGACCAGCCCGCGGGACGTGCAGCCGCGACCCGTTTCGCGTTTGGTGCATGTAAACGACCCTCGCAACCTTTGAGTCGGGCGGCGGCAAGCGTGCATGATCCGGTGGGGAGGAAGGACGCCCGAGCAGGAGGAGCCCGCGCCGTACCCACACACTCCGCTTAGGTATGCCATTTCGTTATTTTATTTTCAAAGGGGAAAGCACCGCGCAGCCAGAGGGGGTATTTGCAAACGTCGCACACAGGTCGGTGGCACTGTAACCATAGCTCCTTGCGTCACCCACCCTGCAGCGGGGGCGGGCGCGTCTATGGGCCAACCGACCACCATGCACCATGCTGACCACGTAGCGACGCAAGTGTTTAGTCGCAGTGAACGCACCCACCGCGGCGGTCACTCGGTGGTGCGGTCAGACACCAGCAGGCGGTGGTGGAGGCCGTGACGGGTGACTGGGGCGCGCGCGGGTGCTTTCAAAATCGATGCATGCGTCGTACACTACCAGCGCGCCCGCACTAGGACTGACAAGGTCATCGAGGACGCGGTCAATTGAGGGGGGGGGGTGCAGTCAACGAGAGGACGCCGTCAAAGAGGAGGGCCAGTCAACGAAAGGACGCCCGTCAATGGGGAAGGCCAGTCAACGAGAGGACGCCGTCAATGGGGAAGGCCATTCAACGAGAGGACGCCGTCAACGAACTGCCACACTGGTCAATAAGCCTTAACTCCAGCACGAGGCCACCTCTTGGGGCGGCAGGATCGACCAGGCCGGCGCCTTTCCGTGTCGAGGAATTCGCCCAGTCGTCGAGTCCGGAAGGGAGGAGAAACTCATCCGAGCCACGGACAGAGGCCCAGCAGTCCCGATGCGTCCCGCACGGCCGCCCCGCCGGCAGCTGTCCAGTGTGCTGTCCACTATCCGGCTGTCCACACGAGGACAGCGCGGGCCTCCTGGGCCTGGACCCCGTGTCCTGGCAGGACATTACCTCACTCAACGTCCTGCGCCGCCGCGCCACGCCAGACCACGCCCCTGCGGCAGCCAAAGAAGCTACGGCGGGGCGGGGCGGGTTAGGTACGCCCCGGCCAGGCTACGGCACCGCGTTTCACCGGGATGAAAAATAATTGTGCCATTATACACGGCGCTCTGTGACCACAGCAGCAGGGCCGGGCCCGGGCCGGGCGGGGAGAGTGGAGGCGAGGGAGCTTCTTCCGACAATCTCCCCCGACCTAACACAACTTGCAGACGGACTGCGCTGGTAACGAGTGTCGCCCGGACGGGAGGTGGCCGCGTGTAACACGCATGAGCGATGACGGGTCCCAAATACCCGGGGGAGAAACTGAGAGTGTCTTCCAGGAGCATACCAGAAGAGCCTCGGACGGCCCTTTAACCGATCGGGTGAGTGAGTTAAGCCCACGAGACTGGACACGCCGCGGGGCGGCGGCCTCCGAAAACACGTCTCAGACGCGACGGGCCGCCGCGGACCTCCCCGCGCACGCAGCCCGGCGATTGACCCCCGGCCCCCGAGGGACCCCCGGGGCCCACGGAGGAGCCGACCCGACGGACCCGACCCACCGCACTCAGTCCCGAGGCAAAGAGATTAAAGATTGAGAGTGCGAGTCTGGTAGTCGAGGTGAATGAACTCTCTCGTCTGGAGGTCCGGAGGGTCCGTGAGGGCCTGGAGGCAGACGAAGGTCCAGGACGATAGCCCTGGAGCTGGCTGGAGCATCCCGTCGTTGTTAGTGCTGGCGCGATAGTTGGTAGAAACCAGGCGTCACTTACACCTGTCTCTGGGGTTATGGAAGGGTTACATAAAAATGTTCACGTGTTGCTTTAAGGACTCTAAAAGAAAGACAGCCGCAATTCCGCTATCACTTTCTACGAAGAACTCCTAGGACAGTATTAAAAGTGTAAATAAATACTGCAGAATAATTGCTGCCTTCATCTATCGCGCCTACCTCGTCGTCTTTCACGTCCTCCTACTGGAGGACTGCGTCAGACAGTGTCTGCAACTCTCCCTCGCCCTCTTCTGCCCCTTTAAACAGGTGCCCTCCATAAACCGACCGCCCCCTAACCGAGCAGGCCAGGCCCCCCTACGCGCCCGCGTCCCACCGCCTTTGGCGGTGTCGCGTTGGATATCAAATTGAAAGGGCTCCGAAATGACGGGGCGCGATCTGAGGGGCGGAGGCGGCATTCATCACTCCCGTAGATTAATTCATTATTTCTCCGACGAAGGCGTAGGATTCCCCTCCTACTGGCCTGCAGGCCGCCCTGAATGACTCAATCACTCAATCCCATGGGCAAGGAGTCCGATTGCTATAAAGAGGGGAGATTTGGAAAAGTGAGGGGGGTGGGGGGGATGAGTTTTCTATATTATCTTTTTGGGGAGTGTGTAGGAGGTTAGGGGTTTGGGTCAGCTTTCCGTCTACTTTCCGCAGTATAGTTTCTTTGAAAATCTTTATTCTCTCCCGCCGGCACACATTTTACTTCAACGCGCGCGTCAGTAGGGCCCGATCGCCCTCGCACCCTACAGCAGTTGCGACCTTCGAGCTCTTCTTCGGGTCAGCGCGCCTAAAGTCACACCTGTTAAACGCTTTCGTCACGCGCCGTCACAACTCCTATGGGGATGGGGGACAGGCCGCCGCAGAGGACACACCTCCCTGTCCCCCATCCGAACAAGGGTACTGGGCATTTCAGAGCAGACACCACAGTGTTGCGGGTTTGGCCACTCCCTCCGCCTGCAAGGCGTTATGCGGCCCCTGTGGCCCAAGAGAGTAATGCAGACCTGCGACACTAGTGTGGTGTGGGTTGTGGGCCGCCCGGGCTTACTGAAATGTACTTTTTGGCAGAAGATGTTTTCATATTTTTTTTTCACAGCTATCCTTATTAAACAGCGGCCAGCATAGCATAGTCACTCTTAGGACACAAGAGAACAAAGTGCCCCCCGCCCCCGATTTAGATACCGTTCTTCCTGGGGGGTCCATGAACCCATTGCCCAGCCCAACCCGAGGCCCAGCCAGCTACCCCGGCCGCCTTTACGTCATGAGAAGGGGCGGCGGCAGCGGCAGACGTCTTGGATAACTATTTTGTAAGGCTGGACGTCTCGAACGCCTGGAGGGCATCGGATTGGAAGAAAGAAGGGCTTAGTGGGGTGGGGGATAAAAGCAACAACGAAAATAAGAGGGGGAAAAAAGAAGTGGACAATAAGTTATTGGAGTGCCGGTGGAGGCGCCGGGGATGGGCCATGGGCCCCAGTAATCAGATCCTACATTCTGTGAGTCGTGATCCTCACAGTCATTAGACCTACCCTATGTCCTATCGTCCAGTTCGAAGAGGAAAAGGGGAGGGGAGGGGGCTCGGCCCTGATGTCCTGACAAGAAAGGGGGAGAGGTCATTGGGCCCTTATTTCGAATAGCCGAGTGGTAAAATGGTCTTCTTGATTATTTGTTTTCGGAGAGCGAGACGAGACGTCTCGTGCGAGCACGAAGCATTCCAAAGTTGGGTCCGGTCGGGGTGAATGAACACTGTGATCCGAGAACACCCATCGCCCCATCGCGTCTCGATGCCACCAACTACTCCACGATGAAAAGGCTCTCCGTGACTAACTGAAATAGTCAACAGACTCTCCTGGCCCGGAGACAACTGTCGGACACTATTCACTCAGGACTTGACTTGTTGGAGTAGAAAAACTTACCATCAGAGCCCGTGTAGCTGGTGAGAGGGTTGTGCAGCAGGCACGAACAGCACGGGTCGGGTCCGGGTCGCCTCGAACTCTCGAACGCCGGCGGAGTAGGCCGCCACTCGTGCGCAGGCGCAATGTGGGTGGCCAGGTCAGCCAGGCTGTCGGTAAACAACAAAAAAACAGATGAGGGCTCGAGTGGACAGAAACCATGGTAGAACAACTTTCGGGCGTCACGGTGGTGATATTCATAGCATGCGGCGTGCTCACCGTCTTCCTGCTCTTCATTTTCGCCAAAAGGCAGATAATGCGCTTCGCTCTTCGGTCCAGGAGAGGCCCGCACGTCGCCCTCGGGCACGATGCAGACAAGGTTTGTAGGTTAGGATGTCCTGGGTGCTGTCAACCAAGATTGAAGAAAACGTATCGGTCATTTCATTTGAACTAACAGACCTCCGATTCTATCTTTGAAATGTCTGCGCAACCGTCTTTTAGTGTCAGGTGTATTTAATAATTAGAAGGATGTACTTTACCAGACTGTGTTTCTGCGCAGGGGCTGAGATCGGAGCTGGAGCGAAGACTGGATGTCATTCCCAGGATCGTTAACGAACCCAGGCTGATCACTAAAGATGATGCGCGTTACATTCTGCCTCCCGGGCCATCATCCATCCCCCCTTACTATTACAGACTAAAAGCAGTGGACGATGTCAAAACTCTGGGTATGTTCAACAGCAATGGTGATAAATCAAACCAGGCTAATCTGACTAATGGGTGGAATATTTCTTTCGCAGAGATGGAAATTCTGAAACAAGACAGCAGTCTGCATCGTCACCCTACAGAGAACCTAAGAGCATTCTTGTTATTGTCTCTGGCTGCCCCCCTTGATGGTTCAGGACAGAAGGTGGTCCATCAATTCTGTGATATGTTTGAACATGCCAGGCATGATCCAGCTGACTTTGGTGAAGAAGAATATCAGGCATACTCTAGACTTTTCCTCAAACTAATTGATGTGTGAGTACAGTTTCAGTTTGCTCTAGCTCCATGTATATTTTTTCTTACCCCAGCTGAATTAAACTTACTGTATTATCTTAACTTTCAGTGCAAAACTACTGAAATCATTCCCTAACAGTAGGAAAACAAGTCCAAACCGAACACCAGTCCGAAGAGTTCCGGAGTTGACCAAGAATAGAACGAGCACTGTTGATGTCAAGCTCCAACTGAGGGATGAAAATATTTCCCGGCCAAGCACACTAACAGTCCCTGCCGGAGAAGTTGACAGCAGCGAAACACCTGTTTAGTGTATGTGTCTGTTAGACAGATAACAAGAACCACTATAATCCTTGATGCAAAAGGGTATATGTATATTAATAATAATATCCTACCATCAATACAAAATTAGAAGCAAAAGTCATGAGGAGTTATAGACCTGTGATAATACTTGTAAGATTAATGCACATTCATCCTCTTGTCTTTGGCTTTGTCAAATTCATGTTGACAGGATGACTGACATCTTCTCAAATTATAAAATGTAAAATGTTGAAAATTATTTTAAATGTATCTTAAGTTTCTTCAACCTACTTGCCTTTATTTTCACTATGTATTTTATATGTTTTTCTAGAAACTATTTAGTAATGTGATTTAACAAGAGAAGCATCTTTTATTTTTCTCATATGCATAGAGGTGCTGGTCTAGATGGAATATTTGTGTTCATTATCCTATGTATAAGTCAATGTTACTCTTCTGTTCATTCTGCTCACACCCATTATCTTCATTAACTTTGAATCAAGAGATAAAGACCTGTTATATACAGAAATGTCTCTCTTTTGACTGTGTCACTTCAAGATACTTTCTGCATGACACTAGACACTCTTCTCTCATGTGTTCATTGTAACTGACTGATGTTTATCTTAATTTTCAAAACTGCTGCCTTTTTGTTTGTGTCAAATATAACACAGAAAAGTAGAAAAGAGTTCATTACAAAGACTATGTATTTTAAACATCTTAAAAATGGAACCCTGCCTACATAAACATCAGTTTATATATTGGCATTCTAAGCAATTCCTGTACACTTATTTGAGTTCAAGACTCAAATCAGCACTGCAGTGCTCAGAGGCTGACAGATATCAAGTCAGCTCTTCCAACAAGGTTTAACATGTATATTACTACTAGGAGGAAGATTCAGCAACTTTCTCTTTTTCTTCCGAGTCATCTTCAGTTGGAGGAGCGTTCCGAGCATCTTCAGCCTGTTTCATCAGAATCTTCTTGCGTTCTCGCCAAGTTAACTTCTTTGGCATGGGTGGTTCAGGTTTCTCAGCTTCACTTCTATTTTTCCATGCCGTCATGTACGATGATGGGTGAATAGGGAAGAAGCCTGCAAGTCCTTGAGAAGAGAAAAAAGAAAAAAACACATTCCACCTAAGTAAAACAGGATTAAATGGGTGTTTCTATTGGCTAACTAATTTTTGTGAGAAGTAGGCAGAATGAATAATTTAACTTACCTAATATAACACTAGCTCCATGGGAACAAGTAGCACCTTCACCCAACCAATAACGTATTCTCTCAAAGTTGCAAGAAACTAGTTTTTCATTTCGTTCATTTGGTAGGGGATCATATGTTCCAAGTTGTTCTATGCATTGATCATCTAGTTCAAGTTTACTCTGAAATGGACCACATTATGAAAGGAATGCAAACCACCTTTTTCTTTGTTAGAAAGCTATACAAGGCATTAAGAGGAGAAATGGAGGTACATAACACAACTTACATGGCTCAGTTGGAGGTGATAAAATGGTCTGTTAGTACATCCCTTGCGAGAAAATCTTATGAGCAGCCGAGCACCTTCTTTAATAGCAGCTCCTCCAGAAGCTGGAACGGGCGGGAGCGGCATTGCCACGAAATTTGTACTTCACACAATGCGTGTCCGTTCCGTGTTTTCGTTTGGGATAAAAAAGCACGGAAATTATGAGGTTATGTCGTCCGGAGCGAAGCAGACGCTCTCGTGTGACCAACCCGACAATACTCAACACACGCATTTTATTTTCCCCTACAACCTTTAATTGAGTACTGTAAGAAAAAATTATTTATAAAAATATTTATTTAGGTCCATAGTGATTTAACTCTGTTTGATCCTGAGCCTCGGAGCATCAATCTTATATTTCTTGATTTATGTTGGTGGATGTAGTTTCGTCTCTTTCTAAAGTATGAAAATGTTTACATTTGAACATTGTGTCGTCTGCTGCGGCCAAAAAGAAGCAAGAAGCTGTAACCTCTGTGGAAATTGAATTGCACTATTTACTTAAAGAAACTGACAATGGCAACAATTTTGTTTTCAACTATGTGTTGATACCTGTTGATACACATGTTAAAACCAACTTTCAGAGGAAAACGTAAGGAAAACTCTTATGGTTCTTGTCTTGTTTATTTTTGCCTTGCATGGTCTTCAAAACTAATCATTTGTAACAATATTAATTTTAAAAGAACCCTTAAGGGAGAATTAAGGTCCAAATTCATTCTTGATGAAGACAATATCTCTTATCACAGAAAATGGTGGAGAAATCATTTATGAAATACCTTAAGCATGTAATATGCAGTTTTGGGCTTTCTGTGAATCTTTCATTGGGTTTATACTGTCATTACATTTTGTTGCAGCTATCAGACCCACCTCACCACAATGACTCTTGTAAAAATAGCCGTTGGCTTGTTAGCTGCTAACGGTGTGTTGATAGCAGCTAAATATGGAAGAATTCAACACGAACTGAAAGATGCGACATGGTTTCGAGAAGCAGCAGTAACAGTGGCGAAGCATGAAGGGGTACATGCTTTGATTGGTCAGCCTCCTCTTGAGCTGGGTGATGTATCACGGTTTACTAGTGACAAATATGAGCCTTTAGTTGAGATTGATCCAAAACCAACATATATTATTGAAGTGCCCGTTAAAGGTTCACTTGGAGAAGGCAAAATACGAATGTACTTGAATTACCTTGTACCCATTGAAGTCGTAAGAAAAGATATTAATGCTTGGAATGTAGCACTTCTTGAGGTGCAAGTAGGTGACAATAAAGAACGTAGGTTTATTGTTAAGTAAAAACATGTGAACTTAAATGTGTAACCCCCTTTACAACTACACATGCTTAATGTAATATAAAGCTGTTAAACTGCTTGAAAAAACGGCATATAAAATAAAACTGAGATAAAAGTAAAACAAAAAAAGAATAAAGGCACACAACTTGAGTTCAAAACCTCAAGTTAAAACACTTTCTGGTTTTTGACCTTTTCAAAAATGAATCAATTCCCGCGCTTCCCACTCATTTCCACTTTTTCCGGTGTTTCGGAAAGAAAAAGAAAAAAGGAAAAAGTTAGTGCAGTCAGGAATATGGCCGATAAGGCGTTTGCGGTTACAAATTGTCTTCTGAATGGTTTATTAACTCCTATTTAAAGTGCGAATGGGTCCTATTCACTTCGCATTAAAGAAGTGGTTTGACTGTTATTTTTTTGTGGTAGCAGTAAGTCGGCAGAGCGTGTTTATCACAACTAAATTTGCTTTCGGTGTTAATACTCAGGTCACATAACCTAAATGGCGAAGGTAAATGTTATTTGTTTATTTATATTTGTGAGCCTGTTACTGTGGCAGCTATGAAAATAATTTTTTGACTATCTTCACATTTGTTGTATAAAATAATTTTTACATTAACGACCGTCAGTCACTCTAACCATATTCAATGAAATGCTGTAAATCCACATACTCTGGTTGACTGACTGCCATTACTTTGACATTGCTTTCTATTTTGACATTTCCTTGCATTGTTGGATATTAATGTGTAGAAAACTCAACACAATGTCTTCTCTGTAAATATTCAGTGCTTTATATTTATGAAGACTAGTATTTTATTGTTGTTCAAATGTGATATGGCTTCCTCAAGACTCAGTCTTCCGTGAGAAGAAACTTTAATTTTATTTTTAATTTCCAGCACATTGCAGAGCAGAAGCTTAAGGCTTTTTCAATTGGTTCAATGGGGAAAAGACCGTTGTCTAAAAAGGAACAAGAGGAGCAGAAGAAAAAGGAACAGGAAGAAGCAGCAGCCCAGGTGCTGATTCAATAGTTTCATATTCTCTTGGTTTTAACAAATATATTTTAGCTCTTCTGTTGACTGTTGAAGTTATTATTGCAGAACATCTTTCTAATCAAAAAATAATATCATTTTCAGGCATTTCAAGAATTTGTGGCAACTTTTCAAGATGCTCCTAGCAATAAATCAGGAAAAGTTTGGGTCAAAGCAGGAACATACGATGCTGGAAGAAGACGTGAGTATTTCTCTTCAACTGTTAATATGTTTCTTGACAAACTAGCTGAAAACTTCCAAAAATGTGTTGACAGAGGAGGACACGAAGGAGAAGGGTAAGCTTTACAAGCCTACATCAAGGCTTGAAGAGAAGTCAACTGCTGACCAAGCTCAGGAGTATGCCAGGCTCTTGGGTGAACGAGGTAAACCAGAGAGACCTGGAAAAAAGAAAGAAAGAGAAAAGCGAAAAAGTAATCTAGAGCTTTTTAAAGAAGAGTTAAAAACGTAAGCAGCCTGCAATTATGAAGCTTAATTGCTAACCAGTAGTCAGTGACATTAAATTTAAATTCCATTTCCCAAAATTTTTAGTATTCAAGAAGAGAGAGAAGAAAGGCACAAGTATAAGGGCATAATGAAATCATCATCAACTTCCTTGTCAGGAATTTATGAAAATGAAGATTCATCTAATAAACGTAACTATTTATTTCAAGTACTATAGTATTATCAATAGTTTTGCATCTCATCAAATTTCAGAGCTTTTATTGATTTGGGAACTGTTTTATTGCAGTTGGTTCATTTGACAATGGTGATCCCACAACAACTAATCTCTATCTTGGAAACTTAAATCCAAAGGTAGGATATTTATCTTTTCTATCTGATTTCCATTTAATGCCGAGTGAGGAAATGTGCTTATACATTTGGTTTACTTTTATTCTCATTTATAATTGTAGATCACAGAACAGCAGCTGATGCAAGTTTTTGGAAAATATGGCCCTCTTGCCAGCATCAAAATAATGTGGCCAAGGTCAGATGAAGAAAAAGCTAGAGGAAGAAATTGTGGATTTGTAGCTTTTATGAATAGGAAAGATGGAGAAAGAGCTCTAAAACACATAAATGGTAAGTTGTATTGTTTCTTATGCAATATTTAAAGGTAATTTCCTTCCTAATCTTTTGAAAATTTGCATATTTTACCATAGGCAAAGATGTTATGCAGTACGAAATGAAGTTAGGATGGGGCAAAGGGGTGCCCATCCCTCCGCATCCTATCTATATACCTCCAGCAATGCTGCAGCTCACTTTACCTCCTCCACAATCAGGACTGCCTTTTAATGCACAGCCATGCCGTCGGGATAGAGACAGAGTTCCAAAGCTCAAACCTAGTGACCCTTACCCCACAGACCCTGATCAGAAGGCATATTTGGATGATATTCTCTATAACGCTGTTGTCAAAGTTGTGATACCAACTGAAAGAAATGTATTAATGCTGATACATCGAACAATTGAGTTTGTAATAAGAGAAGGCCCTATGTTTGAAGCCATGATAATGAATCGTGAGATTAACAATCCTATGTTCAGATTCCTATTTGAAAATCAAAATCCAATGCATATTTATTACCGTTGGAAGCTATTCTCACTTCTTCAGGGGGACCTACAGGCCAAATGGCGCACAGAAGAATTTCGCATGTTTAAAGGTGGTTCAGTTTGGAAACCACCCCCTATGAACCCCTACACCCAGGGAATGCCTGAAGAACTTGTTGAATATGATGAAGTTGATTCAAGAAAAGGTTCTCTCTCTAATTCTCAAAGGGATAGATTGGAAGATATATTAAGAAACATTTTTCCTGAGCGAACTAAAGTAGCTGAGGCTATGATTTTCTGCATAGAGCATAGTGAAGCTGCTGAAGAAATTTGTGACTGTATTCAAGAAGCACTATCAAATGCCACCACTCTTATGACCAAAAAGATTGCTAGATTTTATCTGATCTCTGACATTCTCCACAATTGTGGAGTTAGTGTGAACAATGCGTCCTACTACCGCAAGGCATTTGAAAGCCGTTTACTACCCATTATGGCTGAAATGCATGCTGCATATACTAAACAAGAGAGCAGATTGAAAGCAGAAGGTTTCCGAATGCGTGTACTTACTGTGCTGAAAGCTTGGCAAGAATGGGCAGTATATCCTCGTAGTTTCCTTATTGCTTTGCAGAACACATTCTTAGGGCTTAGTGTTGAATTACCAAGAAACAGTGATCCAGAAAGTGATGATGATATGAGACCTGACTCAGACATAGATGGAGCTCCCCTATCCAATAGAATGGATGACGATATTGATGGTGTACCTCTTCTTAAAGGTGCCCTGAAAGGCATAGGAGAGTATAGTGATGACATTGATGGTGTCCCAATGGATGATGATATTGATGGTGTGCCTTTTGATGATGAAAGGAGACCTAGCAGGAAAGGAGGAATGCCAGCAGGCTTTGTTCCTTCCCGATGGGAAACTGTTGATCCCGAGCAAGTTGAAGCGCAAGCTATGACTACAAGCAAATGGGATCTGTTGGAAGGTCAAGGTTAGTAGAGTCATTTTCTTTATGCTTCTCTTAATTTCCTGTCTTTTTATTTAATTTTCTTTCCCACATTTCAATATATTTTATTGCAGATGATGATGATGACGATGACAGTGTCAGTAATGGAGACAACTCATTGGACAGCAATCCCATGTTGTCAAGGTATTATATTAACATCCTCTTTTAATGCAAGGAAGAAGATGTATTCTCATTCATAGGCATTTGTTCTGAATTATTTTGAGTTTAGTTCCAGAGATGAAGAAAAGAGAGCTCGACTACGTGACATAGAAGTAAAGGCTATGCAGTATCAAGATGAACTGGAATCTGGCCAGAGAGCTCTCAAATCAGGATGGAATATATCCCAACAAGTAGAACATTATCGACGAAAACTTTTGCGCAAGGTAAGTCCCCTGTAGTTATTAATCTAATCTGTAGTTCTTAGCATGAGATCTTTTACTCAAACTTGAAATTTTTTGCAGGCTGAACGCGAAGCTCAAATTGCAAGGGAAGAAAAGTTTGATAAGAAAGACAAGAGAAAGGATAAAAAGGATCGATCAGATCGGAGTAGAAGAAGCATGTCTCCAGATGATGATGTTCATTACCGTGATAGCTCGTATGTTTCGTTTTGTTTTATTTAATTTCATATATCCTTAACATTTAACTAATAATCATTTTATGACCTTGCAGAGTTAGCTCTAGATCTAGATCAAAGCGGTCAAGAAGCTGGTCAGGTAGTCCAGGTCCATCTAAACGATCCCATCGGTAAGTTGTCATTGTGGATGGCAGAAACAATGTTGTTGCAATATTAGTTGATCCATACCTTTTCCGTTGAAAAACTTTCGGTGAAAATATTGTCATTATTGCCATTACAGATCCCGAAGTAGAAGTCCACAAAGCTCACGAAGCAGAAGGCGTTCAAGGTCCCCTTACACCACAGGAAGCAAGCGTAGGGGTGCCTCTCCACTTTCTCCAAGCCCTTCCCGTCAGAAGCGAAGGGGGTCTCCATCTCCCCAACGCTCAAAGCATCGAGGCCTTTCACCACAATCACCTCGTAACTCAAGACGAAGAAATTCTGTTTCTGCTTCTCCTCCTCCCCGTAGTAAGCATCATGCTTTATCACCTAGCACTCCACCCCGAAAGCACAAGCACAAACACAAGTACTAGTTATTAGAATTATTTTATTTTATTTTGCTATGTTTTCTAGTTATGTGTGATAGTAAGGGTAGAATAACTCTGGCCTTAAAATCTTGTTTGCAGTATTGCAAAAAATATAAAGAGCTAATTGAGTCCACAGATAGTTGTAACTATATGTTTTAGTTACATTTCAGTTCTTGTTACCTGAGAAATTACGGATCTTAACGGAAGCATTTACTAAATTGATTTTCACTTCTGAATGCATGTACATATATGTAGGTTCTTATTTGTCATCTCACCCTTTTTCACCCTTTTTTAACATTTTTGGACTGATATGTTAAGATTTGTGGAAGAGCTCTTGATCATCATGACTGCACAATGTAGTGTTTTGGCTTCATTTAATATATTTTAAATTACTTTCTTAGTATTTTTATTAGCAGAAGTTACTGTGAATATGGTTCAAGTAATCATTAAAATTCTAGCACACTCTGTGATATGTATGTAGGAGTACATCAATTTTCATCACAATCTAATCTAGAAGCCCTAAAGTGTGGTTTGGCACTGTTCGGCATCTTGTTCACAATGTCAAAGCTGAAATGGTTCAAATAAGAAATTTTACTATCAAAGTTCAAATTGGTTGAATTTTAAGACCATTTGTTAAATACACTCCTATTAATTGAAAAGTGTTGCCCCAAAAAGTAAATATCTAATGAATGGTAAATGCAGTCAAATGTGGTGCACCTTAATGAGTATGTATTGCATTTCCTACTGTACATGTTTATTTTTTTGTTAATTATGTTTTAATATTTCAGAATAGACACGGGGGGGTTGAATGAAATCGTGAAATTCTGTGTTGAACCAGGATCATGATACGAGTGGTTTGAGCACTCACTGTCCTGGATAAAATTTATCATTTGGTGTACATAAATTTGTGTATATTGATGTCCTGATGTTTATTGTCCCCAGAGTCTTATATCAATTAATTGTGTCTCGTGAACTTTGGTGCTTCCATCGTTTGTCTAAGGGTGGGCAGTGGACTGGATAGCTATCCTGGCCCTCTCTCTTTCTGTTTTTACATCGAGTTGGACAGGAAACATGTTAGATTGTAATGTTTTGTTTTTGAAGCATCCTAAAGGTGCACACAATAAACAATTGTACCATAGTTTTCAACTGTCTTGCCTTAACTTTTTATTTCCCTCAAAGATGCGTGATTTATGAGCACCCCCTTCCCCCAACACTTTTTTAAATTAAACATTGCCTTGACTAAAGTAGGAAGGGCGTCCGTGTTTGCGGGTCTCTGTTGTTCACGGCATCCCAGTGTCGTGAACGCACCCGGACCGCGGTAAAACTATTCAGACATTGCTGCAGCTGTGCTTCTTCAACTTCGTGGCTCCATCGAGGAGGAGAAGAGAACCCAATCAGTTGTTGTCGGAAGTGCATCAGCGCCATGCCGGCAGATACGACCCGTATCAGGTAAGCGTGCAGAGTAGAGGAGGGGGCGGCGGGGGGCTTTGTGTCCATTCGACAGGTGTGTTTGTGTGTGCATGAGCACCAGGGGAGGGGAGAGGCACCCAACCCCGTCGCTCACAGATTGCCACTCGTGC